CCCTCTCATTCTTATTCACAGTTTCCAATGTAATTTACAAAGATGCAAATCAGTTTAAGCCATTACTACACTTTGATAGTACCTCATTGCCTGTCATGTCTCTAACCCAAATGCTTACAGGGGCCAGGCACATAATGTGAATGAGGTGAAGCAAAGGTGGGAGGCGAGGTAGTAACGAGGAAGGGTAGGGACTGTGGAAAACTGGAGTACACGTGTCTTTTCTAAAGGAAATAGCTATTATGGGGCTCCAGACAAGTGTTGCTATGTCTATATGGAAAGGTGAGCCTGATATTGCCAGATATTCCAGTTTTTTAGAAGGAGAAGAAAATCTGGATTGGATTTTGATAAAAACATTACCATTTTAAGATTGACAATAAATTTCCTTTAAAGATTTCTTTATTTATTTATTTTAGAGAGAAAATGCGTTTGGGGAGGGACAGAAGGAGAGAGAAACTTTAGCAGACTCCTCACTGAGCTCAGGGCCCATGCAAAGCTTGATCTCATGACCCTGAGATCATGACTTAAGCCGAAACCAAGAGTTGACACTTAACCTAATGAGCCACCCAGGGACCCTGACAATAAATTAAAAAAAAAAAAAAATCCTGATGCTCCAAACTACCTAGAATCTCTGGGCATGAGATCCAGACTTCAGTATTTTTTCAAAGCCCTCAGGAGATTCTAGTGTGCACCAACTACAAAGGGTCTGAAAGTGAACCAAAATTTGAAGCAATATTAGTGAGAGGATTAAAGGTCCACTAGAGTGGTATGAAAATTACTTTAAACCGAAAACATCTGAACCATCAGCAGTCACAGAAATATTACCTAAACTTAAACGGAGTCTCCTGAAAATACAGCTACCATTGACCTTCTTCCCAGGGAATCTCCTAATTGAAAGAAGACTGACCCTTACCAGCAGGAAGTACAAATTCAGCTGCCATTAACTCTTCCCACTGGGAAGAAGACAGACTGCCCATTTCATTAGCATCAAAAAGCCCAGTAGAACCTTCCATACTCATTCATTGAGGCCTTAAGCCCCCCAACTCTTTTTTGTTAAAATGATATATATAATCCTCAATTTCTGGCTATTCCACAGTTTCCATTACTGGGACCTCCCATGCATGTATGAAAATAAACCTTGTCTTTACTCCTGTTAATCTGTTTGTTGTCCATTAATTTCTAGACACCCAATCACTGGACACAAATTGGAAGAGGAAAAGTTTTCCTCCCAACAGAAATACAAGTTCAATCCTGAAGGTAGTTCTTATATGAACATTATTTCTGATGCGTGGAAGAAGGAATGATTATGCCTCCTCAAAAGAGATAATAAGGAAGTGTTTGTTTACATATTATTTTAATACATCCTAAAACCAACTCAGCTCCAAAGTTTGAATCCAAGCCTTGGGGAATCAAATTAATACATGATAAAATCTAAGAGTATTTAAGGTCTTAACCAAAGGGTGGTTTATAATCATCAATGTCTGCTATTTCTTTATCTGCTACATATGTAAAAGGAAAATATTTTTCATATTTAGTAAAGAAAGTATAATGATTTAACATAATTTATTCATGGTCAAAGGTTATAATAAAAATTCTTTTAGTTCATTATTTCAACACATTCTGAATAAGGCATCACATTTATTAAGAGATAGAAAGTTTTCCATATTTCTTATTTGAGTATATTCCAGTAAGAAATTATAGGGGCATTTTCAAAATTTATTTTAAAATCTTACTGCTTAAAAAAAAGCAATACAGAACAGCTCCCTGCTGCTCAGTTTAGCTGTGGGGAGCAGAAACACCTACTTTCCCTGTGTTACCAGATTATTTATATGTGTTTCACTAATGAACCCCCAGCTTGAGGCCTTATTTATACATAAAATCTCCTTTGAAAGACACATTCCCTCTTCCTCTCCTCATACTCACACCCAAACAAAACTCCAAAATGTAATATGCTGGTTCCTGTTTAAGGCCATATAAAAGTGGAATCCGTCTGTAAGAACAAGGAACAAGATGGTTGAAAAAGCACAGATGAAAACTATTTGAACATTTACACCATCCATGGAAAAAGAAAAGCAATATCTTTGAGCCACTACTAAAATGTGGGTGTTTTCATAGATATTTTCTAATTGAATTTTCATGCCTCCTCCTTATAGATGAGGAAGGTAAGGCTCAGAGAGGTCAAATGTTCCCAAAATTACATAGTGAGTGACAGTAAGGATTTGAACCTGTTTTTTTTTTTTCCATGTGGATGCAACCTATTATAACATTATAATCTATTTTTAGAAAACTTGCTCATCTAGGTGGGAAGAGGTCAGTAAAGTAGCTAAGGAAACATCTAACCAGCAAAGGTTGGTAGGTCCTTCCAGAAATCCTAATACTGTAAACAGGACTGGCTTCATGGGCAAAGGACCCATGTCATCCGACAGGTCCCTGAGTTTAGAAGAGCTAATATATGAGAGGTAATCAAACTGACCTGTTTCTTAGTGAGCCCTCTCCAACTCTCACTAAATGAATGGGATAGAACATACCCCAGGGAAATGGGTCTTGGAACAAAGCAGGATTGAGAGTCCAATCAGTGGGACTTGGAGGCAAGGGATCCCCTCCTTTATATGTGTCTGGGGTAGAGGGGAAAACCATGAATGGTTGAGCCCTAATCATAATGATAGAAGCTCTCTGCACTCAGGGGCACTCAGCTCCCCACCAGAAGGGGACAAGTTGGAGCACCAACTATCACACCTCCCATGCCTTACCAGTCAAAATTTCTGCTCTCCCAAGGGAATACTAGCTCAGGGGAAAATAACATCTGATGAGCACAAGCAACACACTGAAATACGTGAATCAGAGGAAGTAGAATTAAGGCACTGGATAGATCAAACAGTTAATGTGTGAATAAAGCATACCTTAAGATATAAGGAAGAACATTAGATAAAATGAAGCTTTATTTCATTTTATCATACTGGTTCATAAAATGAACCCGGTAAAAACAATTATGAAGCAGAATCAGTATGAGGCACTAGGCATGAAAAATGGGGAATCGCTGAAGTGAAGCAACCTGGCAAGAGGGCTGAATAACAGAAGTGCGGTAGGGGAGTCAGTGAACTAGAAGTTCAGGCATTTCAGAAGGGATAAAGAAATAGGAGCCAGTTAAAATTATGAAGGATAGAAATAGAACATTAATATCTATTTAACAGAACTTGCCAAAGTCCTATTAGAACTGAGTTTAGATGTCAACGAATAATTTTTCCAGACAGTGAGATTTTTCTCAGGGCTATGAGAAACCATGATTAGTCCACAGTTACAGGGAATATAACTCCAAATGTAACTAAATTATGCAAGTAAACCATTTTTGTTTGTTTTAAAGAAGGCAACAATCCTGTCAATTCAGGTCATCTCTTGTGCTTAACATTTTGGGATTTTGATAGAATTTTCACTGATAAAACCTGAGTTTGACACCCGCAGAATCAACTGCTGTTTAACCCGAATGAAAAAAAAAATTTAATTTCCTAAACAGATAAACCAAATGCTGAAAAATTTTAAAGAACTTTAAAAAAATCATCAGTTATAGCAATCTTCTGTGATTGCATCTTTTATCAATCTGGCAAACATTCAGATCAAACACATAAAATACCTATGTATACTGCAGTGTTCAGAGAAAAGTGATAAACAACCAAACAAAAGCCTCATGGTTCTTCTGCGATTTCAGTCTGGATAAACGCAGTATACTGCTTCCCCTGCCTGCTTGTCCCTCCATCCCCTGCCCCCTGCCACCAATCCCATCCTCCCAAACATGTAAATATTTATTTGTCTTCCTTATTTTCAACCCTCATCTGGTAGTGCTGGCCCATTGTTTTCCAGAGCCTCAAGACTTGGCTTTACCTACAACTATCAATCACTCAAGATAGTAATAATAGAAAGTTCTCTTAAGTCTTGATACTGATTAAAGTTTTTACTGTTCCTATTCAATATAATACAAATGGACTTTTGTTTCCATAGAGATCAAAACGGAGCACTTGTAAAGAACTTTGGTAAGTATTTATGGACCCCACAGATACAAGGGAGTCAATTGCCAAATAGAAGACACAGTGGGAGAGGAGCATCTCTATACAGGCCCTCTGCTCATCTTGCTTTCAGTACTTCATGATTCCATTCTGCACATTCCACATATCTACAAGTGGTTGACTGGCTCATAGCCATTTCTTTTTTGCAAAATGAAGAAATGTGAAGCAAGTTAAGGAAATAGGGAAATGTAAACGGGAACAGCAAGCAAACTATACCTGGAAATCATAAAAGTAATAGCATAATGAGATCTTAGTGTAGAACAAGAATTTTTTTTAGAAAGCTAGCAGAATAGGGGCACCTGGGTGGCTCAGCCTTCGGCTCAGGTCATGATCTCAGGGTCCTGGGATCAAGCCCCGCATTGGGCTCCCTGCTCCGCGGGAAGCCTGCTTCTCCCTCTCCCATCCCCTCTGCTTGTATTCCCTCTCTTGCTGTGTCTCCTTCTCTCAAATAAATAAATAAAATCTTTAAAAAAAAAAAGAAAGAAAGAAAGAAAGCTAGCAGAATATAGGCTTAAGAGCTTTGGGCCTTGGAGTTAGATAAGACCTGAATCAAATTCCAACTCTGCCCTGGACAAGATATATTACATTGGTCAAGTTACTTTGCATCTCCAAGCCTCTGTGTTTTGTTTGTTTTGATCTGTAAAATAATATGTACCCCTTAGGGGTTTTGTGATAATTTAGATAAGGCATTTCTTATACTTAATATAGTGTTTGATAGATAGTAACTACTCAAAAGAAGATAGTTATTATTATTGTAGAGGCTGTTTTGTTCCTTATTATTCTAGAAGCCCAGTCAGTAGGTAGTGGTATTAGCTAATACTATGAGAAATTTTTCTTTGTGAACAGTGAATTATTCAGAGGGTTTGGTACTTCTCTACATTACCTACAGAAGCATATTCAAAAGAAGACCATGCATTTTAAAATAATTTTTAATGTGTCTCTTACCTTCGCTTTTATTATCAATTCCTCATGCTTACATATTAGCTCCTCATTGTCTGAAAGTGATGAACCTAGACTTTGTTCCTGTAAATCTCTTATGGTTTTCTGAAACCAACAAGTAACCTAGGTAAGAAGCACAAAGAGAGACCAAATTTCAAATGATTAGAATAAGTAAATCAAAATGAAAAATATTTCCTTAACCTTTTAAAAACTTAAGCTATTTCAGTTTCTTTCTACATAAGCTTGTCTCACATATTAAATTAATATGATCAGGTTTGTTTTTTCTTCATTTCAATCTCTATGTAAGAGAAAAAAATAGAGTAATCCCCCAAAAGCATGAAAATGATGTATCAGTTCAATAGATTACATGGAATGAAGGAAATAATTCAAAATCTCCTAACAACAAAGAACTAGAATAGATTCCCACAATCTATAACTCATGCATTCTTTTAGAATATAAATCTTCCCTGGATAAGAATATGAATGTGAGTATGTAGTTACATAAACCTACATGAAGATATTAGCATATGTAGAATTATGTTTCTACTATAAAATGACAATGTAAAAATATTTCAGCAATGCAATTGCTGAAAATCTATATTCAGAAAATAAATGGAGAAATTAGTAATATTCTACTGATATTCTAAACAGCTAAGGGCGTGACTCACATTTATTTAGACTTGATTTACAATACATGATTTACACAGTGTTGAAACAACAAATAGCAAAGGACTTTAAAGAAGCTGTACATTTTTAAATGGTGACATAGGTAGACATGGGACCGATGACATGGAGCCCCTGGATACAGATTCCTTATCCCAGTTAAAGCAAAGAGAGTTTTACTCTCAAACCTTACACAGGGTTATCTCCATGATCACATCACAGCTACTGATCCTTAAGAGCCCACAACATGCTAGACAGTTTGCTACTTGCTTTTTGGGCATCATCTCTATTTCTCTCAACAACTCTCTAACAAGTGTGATATCTTCATTGTAGAGATGAGAAGAGGTGAAGCAGATTATCCAGGGCCATAAAGTAAGTGGCAGAGCCAGGTTTGTCTCCAAACCTACGTTATTCCAAAATACATGCTCTTTTCACTGTGTCGTGCTGCCATCTTAGGTAACCTAAGTCTTACAGCCCTGGCCATCAGGGGTTACTACTTCAAGCCTGAAGAATGAATCCTGACATCCCATTCAAAATGGTGGGCAATGCCCAAACGTTGTACTATGTTTTTTTTCCAGCCTAGGTTGTCTTGCCTACAACCACCTCAGGATTTCTCTGAACTCCTATAATATAGAGAAATGTGTGAAGCAGATAGTCAAAGACAAAGCTAGATTAGTCCTGAAGCTCCACATAATAAATGCACACCTCCCTTCCCCCCTGCCCCACATAATAAATGCACACCTCTGTCCCCCCCGCCCCACATAATAAATGCACACCTCCCTTCCCCGCCACACACACAAGTTAGGAGTTACCTAGAATAGGACATTCCATTACCATTACAGGGCTGATATCACAAAACTGATTATGAGATCAAATGGTCTATACCAATACTTAGCATTTTTCAGCATGGAATAAGCAGTACAATTTGGGGTAAGAGAGTTTCTCCAGCTTTCTGCTAACTGGAAATCTTTGTTAACCAGCATTTTTGGCTATCATCAGTGCAATTAAAAAATAATGGTAACCCTGTAGCAATTTACATATGAAGTACACCTCATTTTTTTCCAGAATATTTAGTAACCTGTATACAATATACACATTAGTCAATCTCCGTATCTGAAGTATTGTATATGTATTTAAATTATTTGAAGATAATCTATCTTTCTGTTATCCCAATTAGAATTATGTGATATGTACAATATGCATATTAGATCCATAGAGAGTATTTTATCAAGAGCTATAAAATTTATTCACTAATTTATTTAATTTTTATAAAAATAGTTTCTCACGTAAGATGCAGTGAACCCATATAAAACCACAACTAGAGGAATGATTTAAAGGTTTCATCAAAGAAACATGGATCATGAATATAACTAAGTTTAAGAGAGCATTGACTAAGTACTGGGGGTGAGTTTTATTTATTCTTAGCTAACATGGGAGGAACTCGGAAATCTCAAGAATGCTTTAATAGGGAAAGTTAATATAGAATCTGAGTGAATAAAAACTGGGTACAAACAGGTGTTTGCTAATCTCTAAACCCTGAACTCTCAGATAATCCTATTCAGTTTTGTGAGTCAAAGACTTGTCATCTAGCACATGCCAGCAGTGATGAAAGCCGGAGAGGAGTGAGTTGTTTTGATTTTTAAAAGGTATCTACTGACCTCATCCCCTAGATTTGGCAAATACTATTCAATCTCCAAAGGATACTATTCCTGTATGGCAATACTATTCCCTATTAAGAGAATGTAGTTAAAGATCTATGTTGGTATTCTGTGTATTCTGATCACATACCTTCCTGATAAAGCATGCTGACTTTTTAGATCTACACACTTTTACTACCAAATGCACCCCGGGAGGAAACATAAAAACAAGTTGGCATAAAACTCAGAAGTAAGTAGTTCATTGTCAGGGTGTTACATCTCATCTTGAGGTATCACACACATGAGCAGCCTTTTAGATCAGATTACCGTGTGGTACTATAGCATACACACAGAGGCTCTCAGAGTCCTTCTGATGTAAAAGCATGACACCCTAAGTTACTAAGAGTATGTCAACCATAATATCCTGCCACCCAATAAATCAGTCATTGCATCTCACAAGTAGCTACTGCGGACAGCTGCATAGATATTCCAAGAGCACTTTTTATAAGTATTTAAATTATATCAGCTGCTGTCCAAAAGCCTGAGTGATAAAGTACAGTAAACGATGCATCAGGACATTCTGTAGAACATAGTCCTTGCAAAAGGATGAAAACATGAGCCAAGGGTTCAGGGGATGCAGAAAAGAAGGAAGAAAAAAACATTCAGAGTATGCCCTGGAAATCGATTCTGGGCAGTGATGGATTAGGGAGAAAATCTGGACATTTTTCCTTTCTCTTCTCAGTTCCTACCTTTCAGCTTGAACTAAGCAATGTTTTCATGATCATCCCAGCAGTTTGACATGACATTCTAGGTACTCAGTGCCCAGTGGAGGTAGAACTAAGATAGAGAAGGAATGGAGATCTTTTTTTTGTGGGGAGAAGGGGAACACCTATCAGAGAGTAAAGGGAGATAGAAATAAAAAGGAAGTCAATAAAGATTCAAAGCAGGAGCAAAACCAAGAGCTGCCTTGGAAATGAAAGCTGCCAGGAAAACTCACTCAAATGCTGTCTGTAGACCCACGCTGTCCTCTATGGTAGCCGCTAACCACACATGGCTATTGAGTAGTCGGATTGGGCCAAGTCTAAATTGAGATGTGCTCTAAGTATAAAATACACAGCAAATTTCACAGACTTTGTATAAAAAATAATACAAATACCTTGTTAAGAATATTAATATTGATTAAATATTGAAGTACTACTTTATGTATGTTACGTTAAATAAAATGTATTATCGCAGGGGCGGAGCAAGATGGCGGAGGAGTAGGAGACCTAGATTTCGTCTGGTCTCAGGAATTCAGCTGAATAGGGATCAAACCATTCTGAACACCTACAAACTCAACAGGAGATCAAAGAGGAGAGTAGCAACAACTCTCTGAACAGAGAAGCGACCACTTACTGGAAGAGTCATATTTTATCCCTTCATAGTAGTTACCCTTATTTTTGGCATATATATATAAGTTGTTCTCTCTTCAAAATTTTGAGATACAGTTTCTTCTAACAGATAAAAATATACCCTAAATCACTAGTGTATGGTTCTGTTCTAGTCTCCTGCCTGATAACATTCTCTCCCTTTCTTTCTTTTTTTTTTTTTTAAATCTTCTTTCTTTTATCAAACAACTTCTTATCTTATCAAGTCCTTTTATAAAATCTTTTATAATTTTCATCTTTACAGTCATCTTCTATCCCTTCATTGTATCAACCCTTATTTTGTACATATATGTCTTTCTTCCTTTATAATTTTAGGAGGCACTTTTTTCTAACAGACCAAAATACGCCCAAAATCTAGTGTGTGGCACTGATCTATGCACTAGCCTGATCATATTTGATCACATTCTGCGTTTTTGTATTGTTCTGTTTTTGTTTTTATCTTTTTTTTCTTTTTTCTTTTTTTTTTTTTTCTCTTTCTTTTTTCTTTCTTTCCCTTTCTTTCCCCCTGGTTTCAGGTCTTTTCTGATTTGTATACAGTATATTTGCTGGGGACGTTGTAAACCTGTTAGCATTTTGTTCTCTCATTCATCTATTCTCCTCTGGACAAAATGACAAGACGAAAAAAATCACCTCAGCAAAAAGAACAAGAGGTAGTACCGTCAGCCAGGGACCTACTCAATACGGACATTAGTACGATGTCGGACCTAGAGTTCAGAATCATGACTTTAAAGATACTAGCTGGGCTTGAAAAAAGCATGGAAGTTATTAGAGAAACCCTTTCTGGAGAAATAAAAGAACTAAAATCTAACCAAGTCGAAATCAAAAAGGCTATTGATGAGGTGCAATCAAAAATGGGGGCACTAACTGCTAGGATAAATGAGGCAGAAGAGAGAATCAGTGATATAGAAGACCAAATGATGGAAAGTAAAGAGGCTGAGAAAAAGAGGGAGAAACAACTACAGGATCACGAGGGCAGAATTCGAGAGATAAGTGATTCGATAAGACGAAACAACATTAGAATAATCGGGATCCCAGAAGAAGAAGAGAGAGAGAGAGGGGCAGAAGGTATATTGGAGCAAATAATAGCAGAGAACTTCCCTAATGTGAGGAAGGAAACAGGCATCAAAATCCAGGAGGCACAGAGAACCCCTCTCAAAATCAATAAAAATAGGTCAACATCCCGACATCTAATAGTAAAACTTACGAGTCTCAGAGACAAAGAGAAAATCCTGAAAGCAGCTCGGGAGAAGATATATGTAACCTACAATGGTAAAAACATTAGAATGGCAACAGACCTATCCACAGAGACCTGGCAGGCCAGAAAGGACTGGCAAGATATCGTCAGAGCACTAAACGAGAAAAATATGCAGCCAAGAATACTATATCCAGCTAGGCT